TGTTTGTTTGTTTTCAAAGGATTTTTATATTATATAAAATTGTGAAATAATTCCACTTTGTGATGTCAAATGAGATTCAAAATAGTTTCTATATTTGAAAGCCAATCAGAGGTAGATGAAAATCTATTTCTCACTCTAAAATTAATACTTTTTAAGAGCTGAGTTTTTAAAGATAATGTGAATGATTCACACGTTCACATATTTTACTGTCATGTTATACATGCACAACTATATTTTTTTGAAGTCCGTTATTCCTTTGAGCATTACCATTTAACTACTGTATTATGACTTCAGATTTACTTTACTGCCTGTTAGAAACCTCAGCAGAGCTAAGTATTAAATGAAGATTATATTGTTCCTTATCCCTCAAGTTGTCACTATAAAACATGCAAGTGCTGAGTTAAAAATAAAAAGAGAATATAGATAGTGCTAGAAAGAAACTTAAGTTAATGTAGTTACTTTAATTCCCAACAATAAAGAGGTGACATAATAAAAAATACACCAGGAAATCTTGAGACTTATTGGTAGGACTACAGATGATGCCGCAGCTGCAAGTCCCTGGTTAAGGTTAACATCCAACAGCTTTGAATCTCAAATCTGAATGACTGCTGATAGTAACAAGCCTAGAATGGCTTGATCCCAGGCAACTTGGTGAGACACTGCTTGTAATGAGCAGGGCTATTTTGATAATACTGTGGAAGCTTTTGTTCAATAAAACTTTAATCTGGATTTTTTTTAAAAAAATGCTTTCTCTTTTTCTCTTTACTTTGCAGTTCCTATTGACTCAAGGACTCAGTCCACATTCTGGAAGGATAGACAAAATCCTCTTATGTCTTGCTTTCTCAATCAGATATATTTGAGAATAACATATGAGTTAGTATTGGTTTCTGTACTTTCATCAGACCACACTGAAATATTCCCCACCAGAAGACTGAAGTCAAATGCTCACCTGAAGTAATTTATTTAGTTGATACAGACATTTTCTCAGAGTTAGTAAGTAAACTGTATTTTAATTCTTTTTGCAACAAGAAAAATAGTTTTGCATATCAAACTATTGCTATGTAAACCTACTGTTAAAATAAGTCAAGGTTTTAAAAAATTAAATACAGAAACAAAGTTTCTATCTCTGATTAATAATTTGCTTTTTATTGTTCATTAAATATCAGTGCACAGATGAACTGGCATGAATACAAATGTTTATGGTAATCTTCACAGCTGTATGTAGGATGGCTTTAATTTTTGACATACAGTTAGAGCATTATGTGTTTCTGTTTCATTGCTCTGTAAAATGTAATGTGTAGCAGTACATTTATATGGAAAATTCTCACAAATGCAAATACAATTAGATTTATGAGTTTTTAGAATAACATAAAAAATACACATTTTGCAACCATGCACACAAGCAAAAACATGTTAAGTATATTTGATTGGTTAGTTTTAGAAAGGAAGATGAATGACAGCAAGAGTACTAAAAGAAATTTAAGAAATAAAAATTCATAAAAAAAAGATGGAGGTGTTGGGGTATAGCTCTGTGGTAGAGGGCTTCCCTAGCTGTAGACAGGCTCTGAGGCTTAATCCCTGGCACTGGGGGGAAAAATAAAAAAAAAAAAAAAGAGGGGAGAGGAATGATGGAATGAAAATTTACCATAACTTTTCTTCAACTATAATAACTAAATTTATAATTCATCATGATACTACTGACTGTGTGTATATGTACATGCTGGAATACATTTTTAGACAAAAACTATTTTATATTGTTTCTTTTCCACTTTAAAATTTTGGTAGTTTACTTTCTGTACATTTTTTATACATTTTATGATTAGCACTTTAAAGACTAGACTACTATCTTTGAAGTAATAGAATCTACATGTTCATTTCTCCATGGTCAATTTACTTTATAGTCAATGATTCATTCTTAACTGTATATATGAAATTTTTCATTTTCTAAAATAAACAAAATACAAATTTTCAATGTTTAAATATTTCCAACGTTAAAATGTTTCCAGTCTTTAAAATCTTTCTAATGAATCTAGTATAGCCTCTTCTTAAATAAACTGAACTGAATTTCACATGTTTGGTATTGACTGCTACACATTGATGTGTAGGGCTTTGTGCTCGGCAGCATATATATCTTATATAACAGACCACTCTGTTTTAGGTAGTATATTTTGCCACTTGCATCTCTGTGAGGTTTAGACAATCTTTAGATATCTTTAGACCAATGTGGACTGTGAGTTGTACTGTGTTTTCTTCATGGGGAGAAAAAGATGCCTCTTTCTTTGGATAGACATAGTCCCAAGCCAAGATGAGTACCTTGGAGATCAGTTCTACTCCTTCTCAGATACTTGAACCCCAAACTTTGGTCAAAGGTAGAAAAAGGGAAGTTTGGAAGTTAAATGGCTTAAACCAGGATTCTATAAAAAGTCTAAAATTAGAAGACACCTAAAGGTGAAAAAATATTTTGTTAAGAAAATACAGATACACATACATATGCATATAATAATATATCAATAATAATTTTAATCTAGATTTATTAACAGAAGCAAAATCATGACATTTTTTAAGAGAAGAAAAGAGTGAAATATAACACGTAGAGTTGGGTTCAATTAGACTTAAAATGAAAGACAGGGAGAAACAGAGGAAAAGGGAGAGAAGTCTAGAATATTAATCATCATGTTTTTAACAGAAATATCTCTGGGTACTGAATTTTCAGTGAGCTTCTTTTTTTTGCTGATTTGTTTTTAAATTGAATTCCTAAAATTTATTTTTTTTCATTCTGTACTAAATATCATATTTTTCATATCATATTAACTATATCTAATATCTAGGTATGGTGATTTTTCTAAATAAAAACCTCAGCTATTTTCATAAATAAGAATCAACTGATAATGATCTGATTTTACACAGAAGACATGAAATTTTCTGTCATGGATGCATTTCTGAAGTCATTTTAGTTATTACTGAACATCACCAGACATAAGGGTGACTTTTTCATTAAAATAAATTATATTTAATAATTTAAATGATTACGGGAACAATCTCATATTATCAACTGTTCAGCTTAATCAGCAATATCAATGTACATATCTTACCACATATACAATATTTTGGTGAAATGGAAAACATCTCAAAATATTAGGAACCTTGTTTAAACATTTACTGGCAAAACTGTCTTCAGTAAAACATCAATTTTTAAAACTTTCAAAACATCACTTCTCACACCCATATGATGTGTCTGCTTCTTTCAAGTCCTCATCAACACTCCCTCCATCTTCTGTGATTTGAAGAGAGCAAACAGCTCTGTGTTTGAGTTGCACATAAAATAAAAACAAACAGGTTCTGCCTGAGGGCTGTAGGGGCTCAGCTATGATTATTATTCACCTCTACACATTTTGCTGCTTGAAACTTATGACACATTTGGCGACCTCAGATTATTTCCCCATTTGAAAAGACTTTTACCTCTTCTTTAGAAAATGGAACCTGCAAGTAAATTTTATTTTATGTAAGATGCTACTCTCACCAAAAGTATATATGAATAAATACGGCAGCACTTCTAGAAGCACTGCCTGCTTTTTTTTTTCTCTCTTAAAGAGGGTGTGTACACCATCATGGTGAATAATCTACCTTGCCCATGAGGAAAACACCTCTCCTGGGGGATTTGAACTATGATACTTTTCACCTTTTTATTTTCAGCCAACCTCAGAATATTTGCTGGCTCAAGCATTACTGTAATAAGCTCTGAAAAAGCTTTCATTTCCTAGACCCTTCCTTCTCCAATACTAAGGTGAATATATGGGAAAAATGTGATCTTGGCTTATATAAATACTAAGCCAGATAGAATCCTTTAAATATATATATCTATACAAATATATATTTATATTTTCTATATTTATTATATATAGATTTATTATATATAGATTTAGATGTATATATAAATAAATATATACTATAGTATTTAAGTATATTTATATAAAATGTGTTATATATTTAAATATATTTTTATATAATATGTTATATATTTAAATATCAGATATTTAAACATATATATATATACACACATCACTGACTAGATTATACAATAACTATTGTATAATTCTTCCTATCTATAAGAATGTGTTGGCATCTTATATGTTCCAATGCTTAAGAAATATTCTATAATTATTTTTCTAATAAATTTCCTTATGACCCCCTTATATAGGTGTTTACATATATGTGCTTACGAAAACCTAAAACATCTACCTATGTCTTCTATAAGATGTGTGAAGTTTCTTTATGCCCCAAAAGTGAGAGGGGTGGGCTTGATATAAGAAAATAGGCTTAATATAAGGGGTGGGGTAAGAGGGAGAGAAAAGAAGGCTGTGGGAGGAGAGAGAATGGCAAAAGGAGCTTAAGAGATTATTCGGATTCATCAATAAGATTGTTATTGAATGTAAGCTGCTAAACTTCTTAGTACTGCTAAGGTAAAACAGTAAAAACAACCATATAGCAGAGAATGGAGAATCTCCAGAGGGACTGACAGGACACAGTACAATAAAGCAGCCAGCAGTGATGATCAGTGGGACATCAATTTGTCCTTTGGACTGTAGCACCTGCTACTAATTGGTGCGAAGAGCTCACCAGTCACTATGAGGCACAGCACACTCAGCTGTCTCTTGAATATGCTGTGAGGAGCAGGATAGCTAATTGCTGCTGCTTCCGTGCCAGTGAATCAACGTGCTGAGCTAATAGCCACAGATAGAGGGCAGACAGATTCCTGCTAGCAGCTTAAGAGTTAGTTGCTTGCGATAACTAAGGCAGTTGGCATACACCTCAGAATGTGGAGAATGATGATATGCCTTCTAGGTTAATATATTAAGGTTTTGCTTTTTTTTTAATTTTAAATCTCTGGTAACATTTTCATGATGATACAACAGTGGAAATTAATGCCTCACGGAACAAGAAGTGTTCGAGTGAATGAATTGTTTTGAAACTAGATTATGAGTATTTGTTGTTTTTTAAAGGGATGTGCAAGAGGAAGCCTTGGCAAGAAAACTTACTTCATAATCTTCCATGGACTAAAGATGAAACTTTAAACTGCAAGTAAGTTTTTTCCCCTCAATCTTTTTTATTTTACTTTCAAATTTAAGATAGCAATAAACTACAGAGAAAGTTATAGACCTTGTTTCAGTACAATGCATCTCTGTCATGATATGACTTTCTGTCCTGCTTGTTCAAAGAGCAAAGTAGTAGTAATGTGCAAGTAATTATTTGCTTAAAGAGTAAGCACAGCTGCATGTTCTTCTGTTCTTTTGGATTACTGAGTGGCGTTGTAATTGTGTTGATGCCAATATGTTTACAAAGACACATGCTTTTGAATTATACCTGTTTGCCATTTAAAAAGTTGATACTCAACCACTTTCTCTACTTCTTTGTCCCTAAATTAAGAATTGACATGCTGTGTTTTGTTATTGTGTGTGTGAATACTCATGCTTTCTGAGGGGTAGTTTCTCAAGGTTATAAAGAGGTAATAGGTAAGTTAAAGCTCCTAACTGTATCCCAATGTGAAATGTTATATTTTGTGTTTGGTTATAACATACAGAATCCTGATCTCTTCACTATAAGCATTTCAATGCATTAGAATATCTCTCATGTTTTGAAAGTATCCAGGAGCATTAACCATTTAGAATCTGAATCTAGGTCGACTTTATCCTTTTAATACAAAATTAATACTGGACAATCTTAACATCTTTCCTACTTTGTACTATGGCATCTTTGATACAAACACACTTTGGTAGGGAGAGGGTAGGCGGGCCCAAATAACAAGTTTCTACTCAGCCTGCTGGAACTCTAATTTGTGACTCTTGTACATGCAGATGGTCATCAAGTTGATGGAATTGTAGCAAACATGCACAAAGCCATTGTTAACTCGAGCATAATACAAAGCCCTCGTGTAAGGTTAACTCCAAGTCATATTCGTTTACTTTCACAGAAGAGCCAGTTGTCAAATACAGTAACCAAATACTGAAGTTATTGTGTTGCTTAGCATTACAGAAGCAAAGTATTGGTTTAAAAAGGCATATTTTTAAACAGATTTTTGCCAGTCAGAAGCTTTTCTATACATGTTCATGTGAACTTGTTTTTCTCTGCAAAATGGCTCTATTATTAGTTTTGTTAGTTTGCTTAACTTGTGCTAAGTGTAAGTCAGTGCATTTATCTGTACATGTGAGTCTTCAGGTTTCAGCAACTTGATCCCCTTCACTCTGGACTCATTCTCCTATGAAATAAAGTGCAATTTAATGTGTGCCCAATTCCACTGAGTGGTGACCTCCTAACCTCTCAGTTGTTGCAGTGATGTATTGAGCAGGGACTGTGAATCCTCAAAACTTTGCTACGAAAATTATCCCTAAGCATTAACTCTTAAGGAACCTTAACATGTCAGAGTTAGTGCTATCTCCCTATGAGCTGTCCCTCTACAGTAATATGGAGTGATTTTGAAAATCATTTATGAAGAGATTTGAATAAAAACCTTTCATTTTCTGGATTTTTAAAAATATATGATATATTTTATTGCTATTATTTGATGAGATTAGTGTGTGAGCTATAAAATTAGTTTGAGAAATATCAATAATATTAGTTCTAAGAAAAATAACCTCAGAGTTAAAGTGGAATATTTATTACAATTCAGTTTCTTAATCTTTCCATCTTTAAATTCTGCATAATAGGCATTGCTTTTTTGTTGTTGATTTTATCCAACTTTTTTTAAGATTAGCAAGACAAGCGTAAAAACTTTTTTCTATTTTTCCCTCTTTTTTTTTAATTTCTCTTTTTTTCCATTTGCAACAATCCCTCAGTATTTTGGTACATAGCCTAATTTTTAAATCATGCAAAAGATAATTATTATTTTTCTTATCAAAGGAAATCATTACTTTGATCACAAAATTTATATCAAGCAAATAATTGTTGAGTAATTAATTATTCCTGATCATAAGAACTTTTGCTTTATGAGTAAATAATGAGCCTCTATAATAATAGTACAAAGTTTAAAAAAAGAAAAAAAAAAGAAGTAATCCCTCAGTGTGAATGGTTTATACCAGTAGATTAGTTTGCTCATCTTGTTAATGAATGTGCAGGTAGAATTTCTGACCACAGGAACATTTGTTCCTGTTTATATAGTGTAAAATAATGTAGAGATTTCATAATTCAGCTGTTATCTTAACATTTTTCTATCATAGAAGCTCCATTCTGGATATTTACATTTTACTGTGGTAGTAAACCTGGGAGAAATATACGATTTTAAGTTTCACTCAGGGTTTCAACCTTTGAATAATTAAAGTTGGCAGCAATGATAATATAAACAAAGAGACCACACTGCTATTTAATGGAGTGGGTATGTTTACTGTCTAAAATTTTTATTTTACTTGTGATTCTATACTGACAATAGATTTTGTTAATTGTCTCTTTTTTTCCTTTATATAAATTCTAATGTGTGTGTATATATATATATATATATATATATATATATATATATATATATATATATAATTTTTTTTTAGTGTGTTATTCTTACTGGGATCACAGGATCACAGGTATACTTGAAACAATTTGTGTTTCTGTGCCTCCTTGGCTTTCACATGCATAATGAAGTGACACAATTATAATATTGAAATAATTATTTTAGGCAAAGTTGATCTTCCAAAACTATTTTCATCATTCTCATAAAAATAAAAAAAGTGTTTGGTTATAGATATTTTCTCTTGTAATGGGATTTTTATGTGTTATCACGTTATAATGTGACAGACTACAGACTCAAAACTAACAATGATCTATGGGGCTTCACATATTAAGTTTCATGCTCATATATAACTGAATTGCATGCAAAGATACTGGAAGAAACTGGGAATTCATCACTGCTCATAGTCAATTTTGAGTGAGGAAAAAAAAATACTGTAATTTATAGCAAGATTATGTTCTCTTGGTAGAGTCTTTGTATAAATTCCAAAGGTTAAAATCACTCAGAAACTGAATTAATATGTAAATTTCTTTTAAATTAAATACTGGAGTCACTTAGGTTGAAATGGCAAAAGACCAGAAAATATACACAGAAATTAAAAATGCAACCATTGCCTTCTTCCAGGTAGGGTGGTAGTTAATTTTGATGTGGGTATGAATAGAATGGCCTTGAAGTAGAATCACTACCTGTGATGTGTCAACAGAAGTGCCAGACTTAGGGGAATATGAAGACTAATGTGACTTTATCTCAGTCTGAAAATACACCACATGCTAATGTGTTAAACACACACACACACTCATGACACACACATACAATTTATTATTTTACCTAAGAAGCATAGAAACCTCAAATTCTGTTCAAGGATAAAAATGATTTTCCTTGGAAACATCAGCACATTCCCTAAACATTGTTTAACAAGGGTTTATGTTTATGACTCAGCGTTTCTGAATTTTTGGAAGATAACCAGGATAAGAAATAAGATATTTGCAAATTGCTAAATAAGTTAAAATATAATGGTTTCAATCATATAGCAATCACTTCTAATGATGATTTTGTGTGTGTATCAACAATAACAGCAACAAAATAATTTCCCCTATAAAGAGTAAAAGTTTCTCCCTGAGCTCTGCAATGCACAAATTTACTTTTTATCTTACAAGTTGTTTAAAGGTTGCACTCAGCCTCAAAGATCAGATCATGGCTATTGAGGCTACAAATGAAAAAGTCGAAAGTAGTCATTATTTCAAGAAACTAAGGAAAATAAAGCATTTCTCTTCTTTAGGCTGGTAAATGGAAAAATTCAAAGCTTGCTTATTCTGGTCCTTGATGGATATGATATTGACAGGAGGTGGAGCTTTCTGTATGGCTTTTTAGAGTGTAAGCATTCTCAGGCCATGGCAGATGTGTATTTCCCATTACTTTGAAAAGTCATTCATTCTAATGCCTAGTGAAAGGGCGGGTTTCAGACAGAATTAAGCACTGTTTCCTGAGTGGGGGAGGACAGCAGTGATTGCAATGAAGTGCATCATTCAAATGGAGCCCGGCTAATGAATGTTTTTTTTGTTGTTTTCATGGAGGTGTCAGAATGAGCCTTTTTTGATTCTGCATCACTGAATCCTTATGGAAATGCAAATTGTTTATCAAGGACAGTGACTTTCCTTTTTGCTTTATCATTTAAGGGACTGATTTCTTCAACTTTGCAGCACATCACTGGAATCTAGAGAAGGGTCATTAAAACTGGATGGGAGGTTGCTATTTCTTGAGAATCTTACATTTCAGTCTGAAAGACAGAGACACAGAGAAGTCACAGAGAGACACAGAGATACACAAAGAAAGATACAGAGATAATCATACAAAGCAAAAGAGAAATAGAGAATGAATGAATCAGAGTGAAAGATGAGCATAACAGTGAATGATGGGCAGATAGAGAAACTGATGCAGTGAGAAAAGAACAAAAAGAGAGTTTCAAAGAGAAGCAGAGGTAGAGTGACAAGGCAAAGATAAACAGACTACAAGAAAACCAATAATAAATAAACAAAACAACAACAACAACAAAATCATAGATGGGGAAAGGGCCTATAGACAGAAGGTCTAAGAGGCAGACAGACACAGAAAGGAACGTGAAGGAAGGAAAGGAGGTGAGAAGGGAGAGGGGAAGAAAGAAGAGACTAGGAAACAAGAGAGCTTGTGATCCAGGAATGGAGAAGCAGACAGATTGTGTGTGTGTGTGTGTGTGTGTGTGTGTATAAAATATGTGTGTGAGAAAGGGTGTGAAGTGAGTTTTCTCATTTTTGAATTGTTGCTATAAAGGATGGTAAATGAAAGAATGCTGAACTAGATGGAACTGAGCCTTAATTGTACTCCAGCCTCTTTTTAGCAATGAACAAGTTATTTAATCTCCATGAGCCTGGTTTATGTCTGGAAAGGGTGATAAAAAGTATATGTAACACATATAAAACATCTTAGTACAGGACCTGAAACAAAGGAATGTGTCAGTGAAAGTAGGGGGGACTAGGATAACATGGACCTCCTCCTCCTCCTCCTCCTCCTCCTCCTCCTCCTCCACCTGTCCCCCCCCCCCCCCCCAGGTAGA